TATTAAAAGTTTGCTAACGAGAAAGTTATAAAAAACAAAACAAAAACAATAAACTTACGACTACAAAAGTAATAACACTTTAGTTACTAACTGCATTATAAAAGTAATAAAACTATAATAGTGTTATTACATTTATAAAGTTACTACTTTTAAAGTTCATTCTTTGTTCAAACAACATTATTGATTCCAAACATTTATTAAAGTAGAAAAGCATCTAGAAAAAATAAAGCGGATATTCAAATATTATTAAAAATTTCAGAAACTTTCACATATCACTTAAACAATGTTATAAAAAAGCACTTTATAAAAAGTATAGCATTATGAAAAACGTTACGTAAAAACGAACGTTAATTTTAAAATCAACCAATAAAAAATTTTTATTGGTTAATTTTAAAATTAACGTGCATTTTTACGATCCATTAGTAACGTTTTTCATAATATTAAACTTTTAATACAATACATTTTCATAAAGTTGTTTGTCATGTTTTTATAAGTTACTTTAGTTTTAATATTATTTGAACATCCACTTTATTCTTCTAGATATTTTTCTACTTCAATTAAAATTTGGGAATACTAATGTTGCTTGAACAAAGAACGAATTTTAAAAGTTATAAGTGCGTTATAAAAGTAATAATACTATTATAGTGTTATTACTTTTGTAATGCTTCACCTTATTTTGTTGCTGAATGTAACTCTGAATGTAAACAAAAATAAAAACAGTATACAAATTATTTAAATTATTAATTTGTTTTTATTTTTTTCTATTTAAATCTCTTTTTATTTGATTAGCTTTGTTTTTTGTTTTTGAAACTTTTTCAGCATTATTATAAAACTTGCAAACTGCCGTGTTCACATTTTCTAAAATATTATAATTGCGTGTGGTCATACGAGACGAAAAACCGCACGCCTTTCCTGGGAAGGCTTAATATATATATATATATATATATATATATATATATATATATATATATATATATATATATATATATATATATATATATATATATATATATATATATATATATATATATATATATATATATATACACACACATATATATATATATATATATATATATATATACATATATATATATACATATATATATATACATACATATATATATATATATATATACATATATATATATACATAGATATATACATATATATATATATATATATATATATATATATATATATATATATATATATATATATATATATATATATATATATATATATATATATATATATATATATATATATATATATATATATATATATATATATATATATATATATATATATATATACAGTGTGGAAAATAACAGCCGGTCAACGGTCAATGACCGCCTGAAATGACTAAAAATGCTCCCAAAATGAACTCTTGCCGGTCAATTAACTAAAAAAAAAATCAGAGATTTAAATGCAAAGTTTGACAAATAATTAGGATGTTATTTGGAAAATGCATATAATAAAGTTTTATAAAATTATTTAAATTTTGAAAAAGGTTCAAAATAGTTTTCTTATTTATGATACGCTACTTTAATTGCGGGTCGTTAAAGAGAAAAGAAGTTAAAGCAAATTTTTTCTTTAATCCTTTTATTTTTCCTGGTTTTTATCTTTGTTTAAAAAACTTTCCAATAAATCTATTTTTTATCAATATAACTCAATCAATAAATACAGGGCCATCCTGAAGAGATTTTTATGGGGGAGTGACGCATCTGTTTTTTGCCGACTTGAGCCAAAAAAAAATTTTTGGGCGACTAACTTATCTCTGAAAAAAAAAAAAGGTCCTCATTTTCTGAATGTCAACTATAGATCCCATTTTGCTGACTCCAGTGTCCAATTTGCCAACAAATAAACTTCGTAAGGGGGCTAGACAACCCTCCATGCCTCCTTCCCCTTGGGATGGCCCTGTATAAATATATAAACCAATATAATTAAAAAATAAAAACTTATTAATTTATATCAATACAATTCAATAATTAAAAATTAATCATTTATTAATAATTTGATATTATTAATTCTCCTCCTTATTATATATTCGAGTATATATTAAATTCAAGTTGATAAAACTTTTGTCTAATAATTATTGCATATTAATAGAAACCAGTAATTTTTCTGAAATCATTAATTCGCTTTGTTAATCATCAAATTTGAATGTAACTTGCGTAACGTATATGTAACGCCGAAACTTTAATCATAAAGTTTTTTGCTTCACTTAAATTAAATTTATTTTACCTAGAGCAAAAATTCTTTTTCTTAAATGAAGTTCTTATTTTATTACTATTTTAATATAAATATTTTATTTATTATTTTATTAATAATATAATAATATATAATAAATTATGTATTTAACTATGAACAGTTTTTCTTTTTTCTACACTTTGTCAATTTGTTTTATATTTCTTATTTTTTTTATTTATTTTCTTGTAAGTTTTGCCACAAATTGTAAATAAATGAATGAATGGTTTATAGAAAAATTAAAAATTACGAATTAAGCGTTTGCACATTTTTTTTAAAAACAGGATTATTAAAAAATCTATATATTTATTTAAAATCTCTTTAGGTGCGAAAGTTTTTCTTCTTCAACTTAAGAGATTTATTTCATTATTATTCGAAATTATAACATGTGATTATAAGAAAAAAATCCTTTAAATCTTCAATGGTCCTTTTTTTTTTAATTTAATCTTTTCTATTATTTTTTTATCATTTTTTCCCCCCATTTGCGAGTCTTTGCAATAAAACTATTTTTAAATAAATTTAAAATTATCATTTGCCTGTTTGCGCTTTTAAAAAAAAAATTTATTTAAAATTGTTATTATTAAAATAATTTTTTTTATTACCCTTCCAGCATTAACTTATTTTTGTATTTATAAAGTTTATTCAAGAAGAACTATTACTTCTTATTAGTTCTTTAAGTTGGCCAGTCGAATTGACTGCTTGCCTTTAATTCCTTATTTTCCATGCTGTGTGTATATATATATATATATATATATATATATATATATATATATATATATATATATATATATATATATATATATATATATATATATGTATATATATATATATATATATGTATATATATATATATATATATATATATATATATATATATATATATATATATATATATATATATATATATATATATATATATATATTTCAATTTCTTTTATTTCTACTTGTTACTTTTTTAATGCAAAAATTTTGGTAATGGTATAGTGTCACCACTTACTAAGCAAAAGATACAGACTTCAAATACCACTTCATCCCTGGTAGCACTCCACTCAACGTGTTTCTTCATCTAGCAGCATTGTTAGTTAAGATTCATATTTTAGAGACATGATTTATCAATATTTAAAAAATGATTTAAAAAAAATAAAACAACATGGAAAATTTATTTAAATAGATTAGATTAGATTGTATTTATTAGAACTAATAATACATGTTCTAAAGGACATGCAGATCCATAATGATGGATACTAACAGCATGCCCCAAAATAAATTATGTAACAGCTTACAACATTGAATAAATAATTAATATACTACCCAACAATAAGATATGCACTCAAAGTCGACATTTTTCAAAAATGATTGACTTAATTTTACTCTTAAAGATGTTGATATTATTGGCATTAACAACATCGAAATGCAAATGATTCCAAATGTTTACAACTCGGTTAGAGAACTTAAATTTGCAAATATCTAGTTGACATTGTTGTTTGTGCATTTTATATTTATGTCCGTGCATGTTGTTTTTGTTGTCAATAAAAAAAGAACATAGATTTATCAATTAAGACCAAGTTATGCGGAATTTTGAAGCAAGTCGATAAACCATGTTTTACTCGCCTTATCTCAAGCGACTCCAAATCAAGCAACTGAAGTCAGTTCTTGTAGGTTAAACTGCTCAAGTGCAGGATTTTTTTTGTGAAACCTTTTTGCACGTTCTCAACTACCTTTATTAGTTTAACATGATATGGCAACCAAACTGGTGAGCAATATTCTAATATAGGCAATATTCTAATAATCAAGATTGTTAACAATAGTGGTTATATCATTGATATATAGTAAAAATAATGTTATGCCTAACAAGCTACCCTGAGAAACTCCGCTAACAATGTGAGTTAAGTTTGATAATGAAATTTCAACCTTAACTTGTTGACTCCTATTGTTAAAAAATGCAGCAATCTAATTTTTAAAATTACCTCTTATATTAAATAGAGCAAGTTTGACTAGTAATTAAGGATGAAATATAAATCAAACGCCTTTTGAAAGTCAATATATACTCCAATCATTAACAGATTTTAAGAGATTAGTGCGTGTAGAGCATTTCTTGAGGAAACCATATTGATTATTGGCTATTAAGTTAAAGAGAGTTAAGTATTTAATAATAACCGAGTTTAATAATTCTTTCCATTACACGACAACAAGTGCATATGAGTAAAATTGATCTATAATTAGATATATTAAAATAACTTTTAGTTTAACTAATTTCAAAAAACTAAATTCAAAAAATTTTTTTGGTGATTTTTTTAAAAAAATTTTAAAAAAGTTTAACAAATTTAAAAAAATTTTTAATAAATTGAAAATAAGTTTATATTTTACATGTTATATTTTTAAGTTCTAATTTTCTTTTTTCTCCTTTTCTCCTTAAATATTATTCCTTTTTACCATTATGTTAAATATAACATTGAAATAATATACAATATAAATAAATAAAACTATAATAGTAATAGTAAATATACAAAATAGATTTTTTTTTATAGAAGCACTTTCAAGAAAATTGCAAAAGTTTTCAGAATTTTGAAAACTCCTAATATAAAACAAATCAAAAATTTATATTTTTACACCTTTAATGAATTTTTTAAAATATTCATAGACTTAATACATCAGTCTTCATACATTAAAGTAAGTCATTCATAGCTATTTTATCTTATTTTAAAACTATAGAATAATAAAAAAATACTAATTAACTAAAAAAAAATTACTTTTGAAAGACAAACTTGAATTTGGTTTTTATCCCACAATTTTATCTGTAAATCTTTGCAGGATCCAGTAATAAATGCTTGCTTTGTTGAAACCAGTGAAGAAATAGGACCACTATGTGCATTTTTAATTATATGATTGATTCTAAACTGGCCATTAAACCTTGAACTGGCTTTTGATTCATAGATATTACCATTACAATCACCAACTAAAAAGTCTCCATTATCTCTGTATGTTCCAGAAGTTAGATTGTTTTCATCTGCAACTTCCTTTATAAATATATATATATATATACATTTTTTTTTTAAATGTTCTTTATAAATTTAAATATTAGTTCTTCTTTATTTTATAAATTTAAAGTTTAAATATGTAAATAATAAACAAATAAAACTAACGGTTTAAAAAATATTAAAATCTTGTATTTGAAAATTTTTTACAAATAATTATTGATAAAGGCATTTTTTACATTACAATGAACAACATTCATACACCAAGAATTTTCTCCAGAAACTTTAGTAAAGAATGCCATATGTGTTCTACTACCGAATGTAACAAATGATGAATTTATAGGAGATGAAGCAATAAAAACGTCACCAGAAATCTATTTAACAAATAAATTTTTAAAAGAAAACCTTTGGAATTAAGAATTTCTTATTTGCAGAGAGGTGTACAAATTTGAGCATCAAGTGCATGTGCCTAAATTGATAAAATTTCTTAGTTTTTTAATTTTTCTAAAATGTGAAAATATTAAACCATTTATAATAAAATACTATTTTGATCAAATTAAAAAAATAATTTTTTTCATAGAAAGTGGAAATTTTTATAAAAATTACACATTCTATGGGTTGACATTTTTTTTGGTCAGTTTACAATTTTAAAAAAATTACGCATTCTATGTGTTTACATTAGAATACGCATTGATGTTTTTAAACTTTCAGGTTGTTTTTTTCTGGGGTGGGTGGGGATATTTAATAAAATTTATTAATTCCAAAAAAGAAAAAAGAAATAATTTAACACCTCTCATTTACTGTTATGATAGTAGAAATTAAACTCAAATGTAAACACAAATGCAAATTTACAAAGTTTGAAAAAAACAACAAACACTTTTATACACTTGTGTACAAATTTAAACATTTGCTGACCTCTCCTAACTTGTATTAAACCAAAAATATAAATATATGTTTGGTTTAATACAAAAATATAAATATATATTTTTGTTGAAGAATTTTACTATTTTAATAAAAACAAACTTTAAGTTCCATATGATAGACTATCTCTTCAGTTGAAACATTGTATATAAGTAGTTGCTTATTGTGATCATTTTCTTGAATTGTAGCAATGTAGTTTACCACAGATGACTAATATATATATATATATATATGTATGTATATATATATATATATATATATATACACATATATATATATATATACACACATATATATATATATACATATATATATATATATATATATATATACATATACATATACATATACATATATATATATATATATATATACATATACATATATATATATATATATATATATATATATATATATATATATATATATATATATATATATATATATATATGTATGTATATATACATATAGATATCAACCCTCGGAATTAGGGTTGGCATTCGGCTAAAAAATTGCTGTCCTTGTTTTTACGCTTTATGGTGACTCCTTTGTGTCAAATTATTTTTGCCGGCCTCTAACAGTTTGAGGTCGGCAACTTATTGCCAACCTCATTTTTCCTAATTCCGAAGGCTGATATATATATATATATATATAATAGTTATAAATTAATATGTTTATTACGTTACAAAATTTTTATGTTATATATATATAATATTTATATATATATATATATATATATATATATATATATATATATATATATATATATATATATATATATATATATATAACGTTACGTTTAATTTATTACGTTACAAAATTATTACGTTACAAAAAAGACAAACCATCAATTTTTAACAATAGTACAGTCACAAATGAATGCATAATTAATTTTTTTAAATTTTGAAAACATCAATCATTATAATTAAGATATAGTCAATAATTGCAATTGTGAAATAATCATTGAAAATTGTCAAATTCATTGAAATTGTAATGTAGTCAATCATTGCAATTGTGATAGGTCAATCATTGTAAACATTTTACAATGATTGACCTATAGTCAATTATATATATATATATATATATATATATATATATATATATATTATATATATATATATATATATATATATATATATATATATATACATATATATATATATATATATATATATATATATATATATATATATATATATATATATATATATATATATATATATATATATATATATATAACTTAATTATTATAGGTCAATTATTGACCTATAGTCAATCATTGAGAAAATGTTATACACATTAGTTAGTCTCAATATACTAAACCAAGATTTAAGATTATAAAATGTAATATTTTAAAATAATAGAACATAAGTAAGACCAAAAAATTAAAAAAAAATTATAAAATTATTACATAGTGTAAATATATATATAATATAAATACATAAAAATACAATTTATTATTTATATTATTAAACTTTTTTAAAATTATATGCTGCACAATTATAGCTGGCATGAATTATACTCACTTACATTAAAAGGATTCTCAGGTTTAAGAAATCTCATTGTACAAACTTTGTTTTTTGTATGAATTTTAAAAACAGTATTCAACTTTACAGAGTTCCAAATGTAAATCACTCCCTAAAAAATAAGTGTGTATGTATATATATATATATATATATATATATATATATATATATATATATATATATATATATATATATATATATATATATATATATATATATATATATATATATATATATATATATATATATATATATATATATATATATATGTACGTAAGTGTATATATATGAATAAAGAAAAAGATCTTTATATTATCATGTATAATATTATATATTTAAAATAGTGCTCAATAGATAAACTAGAGCCATATAGTGTATATGTTACATGTTACTGTTACCCGCAGTACCAGGAATTAGCTAAATGCTGTTTATAATATAGTTTAATATTGCAACTCTGAGTTTTCATGTGTTACCACAATCATCAGGCAAGTAGTAAAAGTTTAATTTTGCTACGGTAACTACGGTAACCTTTGTTATTGTAGTTTAATTTGTATTTTAATTTTGCGTTCATAATCATTTAATTTTTTTTTTAGTACAGAGTGTTAGTTAAAAAAGTATTAACTTTGGAATTTTCATTGAAGTGGTGCAAGTTTTGATATTTACATACAATAGTTGTAGTTATGCAAAGTTTTTTATCCCTAGTTTTTGGACCCTAAGTTTTTTGTCCGAAAATTTTTGGACCCTAAAAAACTGTACGAGTTGGCAAAAGTTGGTAATAACTTAACAGGTACCATTAAACAGATAATATGATAAAGTTCAACTAGAATTTTTAAAAAAAAAAACATGCTGAATTTAACTTTTAAATAGGTTGATACTTTTTTCCAGTGAGCAAATCTAGATTTAACGTTTTTTGTAAAATCAAGACAATTAAATAATTCGGGTTTATACTCATTTTCTTATAATAATTTGCAATAGATAAATAATTTAATAGGTTTAATATCTAAATATTAATACTCTAATGAATATTATTAAGGTCGTTTTACTTTCGTTGTTAAGGTAGTTGCTAGACTTTTCTATACGCGGTTTTATATTCCACGCAGTCTTTCGAGCAAGGTCTTCAAGCATGTTAGAGCTGATATATTTTTAGTTTCAAGGAAAATTGATGTTGTTATTGTTTAAAAACTAAAATAAAAATTTAAATAACCGTTTGTTTGTTGTTGGTTGTTTTTCACTTTTCTAATTTTTATAGCCTGTTTTCATTTTTTAGAAGAAGTTAGAATTAAAATGACTGGAAAAATAGTTTGTAAAAAACTATTTTTCCAGTCATTTTAATTCTAACTTATTATTTTTCTAAACTATTTTTCTAAAAAATAGTTTAGAAAAATAAATTGTAAGATTATTTTTTGTAAAAAGAAAAATAAGAATAAAATTTTATTTATGTATTTAATATGAAAAGTTAAATAAAATTAGACTGTTATTTATGTTTATTTCAGTCTATTTTATATTTCTCTATATCTATATATATATTTTCTCTTACGAGAAATAATTAGGAAAAAGGATAATAAAAAAAAATTCTTCTGGAACTTGTCAAAGAAAAATATTGACAGGTTACCTTTGGTTTATTTTTATGTTGGTATCTGTTGTTTAAAAATGATTTCATTCATGAGTTCAAAATGTTTAATTAGACATTAAATAGATGTTTAGTAACTTAAAATTGTAGGTAATATATAATCTTTTTAAAATTTTATTAAGTAACTAATTTATTGTAATCTTTTTTTAAGTTGTACTTTTAAATTTAAAGCTTTGTGTTATAGATGTTAATATTGAAAATATAGATTACTATGATTGTTAGATGGTGTCTAGCGTTAAAAGATGTTTATGGGTAGTTTTATGCTTTCACATGCTTTTAATAATTGGGATAAAAGCCATGACAACATTTTTTTATAAATAAAATTTATCTATAGTATTATTAATATCTTTGCTCTTTAAAAAAATGTTTCTGGCTTTTTAATGTATAATAATTTCTCTTGCATGAATGAATTTTAGTTTAGGATATAGTTGTGTTATTATATGTTTGTTTTTCTATATTTAATATAGCATTAATCATTTTCATACATTTTTACTTAAGTTTAATTGTTTACAATTTATTAAGATTTAGATTATTACAAAATTGATGTTTACAGAGTTGTTATTATTCATAATCAAGTTTTTGTACCAAGGAAATTGTAGAGGTTTATTTATAAAATATACTATATATATTATAAAGAAAATTTTTATTTTCATATATTTTCACTAATAAATAGTTCAATATATTTATATATATACATACATATATATATATATATATATATATATATATATATATATATATATATATATATATATATATATATATATACATACATACATACATATATATATATATATATATATATATATATATATATATATATATATATATATATATATATATATATATATATATATATATATATATATATATATATATATATATATATATATATATATATATATATGTATTAGGGTGGTCCTTATAGGAGGTTGAAAATTTATTTTGGAAAAAATTTGGCGGGCGCCCCTCAAAATGTTTCCATTCGGTGTAAAAACACTTGCTTTTAATTATTGTTGAATTTTATTAACATTTAGGGTATGCTCAATTCAAACAAACTTTCGCATATAGCAGTCACTCAGTCTCAGTGTTCAACGCAGTAAAGTGACATGAATGTTTTTCAAATGTAAGATATTTGTATAACATAATGTTCTGAAAGCAACTCACTTAGTCATCTTCCAAACTAAATTATGTCTTCAGGCTTTCCACAACTGCTACTTTGCTTATTTCTGGTAACTTCTTTTTATGCTCAGCCACTACTTGAAGGATGAATTGCGTCTGCTCTTCAGATTTTGTCCGAAGTCCGCTATACTCCTGAATGAGGGCGACGCCTTGCTCTGCAGTGTCGTTAGTAACTCGAAGTTTACCAACAAATGTCTGTGCTTCAGTAAAGGCAGGCAGATCACGCCAGATGGCAGGATCTTCATCGAAGAAGCTGGTTGAAATGTTCAGAGCACTAAAGAACTTCTTTGTATTTGTTGTCACGAAGTCAGGTATCTCCTTTTCTCCTATATCTTGGTCTAATAGAGAGATGCGTTTGGCTGGTTCTTGTACTCCAGGGTTGTCCAACGCCTTGACCATCTTTCTCTTGTCTTCAACAGAAATGGAATCGTCAAAAAAAGAAAAGCCTACGAGTACTTCCGACAAGTACCAAAGGTGTCCTTTTAACTTCTTCAAGGCAGCAAGCGATGTACAGTTTCCAGAAGCCAACAATTCCTTACAGAGCAGAAGGTCGTTCTTTGGAGCTGAGATTCCAAGACGAGAAGAAAACCAGCCTCTTATGTAGAACTTCACTGCAAACACACAGAGATCCTTGAGTCCATTGAGCTCACAGTCAGTAAGATGAAATCCACTGTTTCTGAAGATAAATATCTTCATGCTGTAAATGAGACGTGACATGAATCTGGCTCTGTGCATCGCTCCTGGTTTCATGAATCTGACACCTCTCGGAGGAACGCCTCCCAAGAAAATAATTGTTATTTCAAGGAGCTCTCTGTAATCGTCTCTGGGGTGTTCCGTGTGTAGCTGCTCAGTGGCATAGGAAAGAGTCCTCTGCCTGGTTTCCGAATCAAGTTGAGCCATTACAGCGTCATCCTGGATCCCTGCATAAAAGTCAGCAGTTTGAATGTTTGGCCAGAACTGTTTAAACCTCTTGAATAATTGTATCTCGGGTGATGATGAAGGGCTGATGCATAAGGAAAACACTTCCTCGAGCATAATCTCATGGATGTGGTGGCGGCATGCTAAGTACAGTACATCATGGCCGAGTTTTCCTGTTTAAACCTCTTGAATAATTGTATCTCGGGTGATGATGAAGGGCTGATGCATAAGGAAAACACTTCCTCGAGCATAATCTCATGGATGTGGTGGCGGCATGCTAAGTACAGTACATCATGGCCGAGTTTTCCTTCCAGAAGAACACACGCTCCATTACGTCGCCCAGTGTTAGCCGCTGTTGTGTCAAAACTAAAGGCCTTAATATCGTCTTTGATCTTCCAATCATCAATTATCTGGACAATGGCGTCGCATATGGCATGTCCTGTTCCCAATGAAAGCTTAGGAACAGCTAGAAGCTGGTCAACACCATCAGAAGAAACAACAATCGGCAATCTGTCTACTTTTTCATCTCCTGTCAAATCCTTCATCAGCTTTCCATCCCAGTGGATAGTTAGAGGCTTTCCGTGACTTTGAAACTCTACTTTCAGTTCCTTTGATCTCAGTTCTCGATGCTTCAGCCGGTACCTGCGAACGGAAGATCGGTTCACAGCAAATTCTGCCGCGTTCTGGCCTGTTGCAGAAATAACGGATGCCACAGTGTGAACAGCATGCCTGTCACTGATCCCAGCTCTGTCAAGGGAACCAAGAACTTCCGGTGTAAGGATGTTTTTTCTCCCGCGTTTTCGAAGGCATGGATTTGGACTGGTAAGGCTTGATGTCGAAGGTCCTGAGAAATCTGCATCCTGTGATTCGTCGGAGGAGGTGTCTTCCAGCACAGCCGTGTCAAACATTTTCCTTTTCACTTCCTCACTAGCATCTTTTCTCTTCTTCATTTGGTTATCTCGTTTTTCTTTCTCCTTTTCCTTATTCTCCAAGTTCTTGTCCAATCCTGCCATAGATCCTCTCCAGTTGAGCAAGCAAAAATTGCTTATCTTCTTCAATGTTTATCATTTGCAGAGCATCGCCATGAGAAATATCAAACAGATTCGGAAACTCAGCAATAAAAGCTTCTTCATTCCTCTTCTGTGTTTCAGTTTTTCTGTTTTTGTTTTTCTTAAGGTTATCCCAAGTCAGAACCAAATCTTCCAACTTCTTTATTGCTCTTCGTTCATCCCGGACTGGTATTCTTGCACGGCTCCAGTACGTGAAGAGTTGTCGAATTGTTTCTTTGGCAGCTGAATGCTTCGTTTCTTCAACGACCTTCAGATGGTAAAAAAACACACCAAGGACGTCCTGTATTGATGGCAATTTAGCGCCTGTAAACTCTTATTTCACTGTCCCAAGTAAATATATCTCAGACTGCTTCCTTGTCGATACTGCCATGGCAACTTTATTAATTAATTTCTATAACACAAATAAAAAACACATGTTCACAAGCAACTAGTGTAGACAAAAGCACGTTAAAGTAAGCAACAAAGGAGATCAGGCTAAAACAAACCCTGCCACAGTCGGTACGGTGGTCCTTATTTCATACTTTTGGCATTATGGCGTGGCTGGACAGCTCGGGCACATACACCAAAATTCCGGGTCATTGAGCATACCCTAAATATTATTTAATTGTAAAAATCTTTCAGGGTATTTTGTTTTTGAACAATTGGATCCCTCCTAGGGGGCGCCCGTATTAAAATTCAAAAGTTGTAAAATAAGGACCACCCTAATATGTATGTATATATGTATATATATATATATGTATATATATATGTATATATATATATATATATATATATAGATATATATATATATATATATATATACATATATATATATATATATATATATATATATATATATATATATATATATATATAATATATATATATATATATATATATATATATATATATATATATATATATATATATATATATATATCCTTGGAGTTGCGGCAGTGTCATAGTTTGTGTGTTAGAGTGGGGGGGGGGGGGAGTAGAATTCACAAACCCGCATTAATAACCTGTTTTGTATTGTACGTAACGCGTTGATAAGTTTAATTATGCATTTTGTTCAATGTTGTCTCCCAACACATTAACTATGACGCTGACCGCTACTCCAGAGTATATTATATATATATATATATATATATATATATATATATATATATATATATATATATATATATATATATATATATATATATATAGATAGATAGATAGATAGATAGATAGATAGATAGATAGATATTAGAAACACTTTACTGTTCCTAATGAAAAAGGATATTTGTTTGTTTCTAAATTTTTTTATTAGAAACAAAATAAATTTTAACTTTTAAGTCTTTGATAATATGGTTGCAGGTTTTTTTTAACTTTTAAATTAAATTAAGAAACCTGTATTACTTTTGATTATAGCAAATTAATTTTATTTTGCATTAATTTGGTTTCTTTATATATATTTGTTTTAAGAAATTTTTTTTTTAATTTTCTTAGTAAGATTTTTTTCGTTATTTATTAAGTTTTTTTATTTTATTATCAACTTTAGAGTAGTAAAAAAAAGAAATAATTAGTGTTGCTTGGATAAATATGTTTAATGAAAATGATGAAATTGAATTGGATGATAGGCTAGATGAAGTTTTGTATTTACAAGATTATGTAAGTGCTATAAGGCGTGTTGAAAATAATCGTAGACGAAATGAAAGAAATATACTTAGGCAAGATGAAATTAATCATTTACAAATTGAAAGAAATAGGCTTAAACGAGATAATGTTAATCGTCGCCAAAATGAAAGAAATAGGCTAAATAGGCGAAGTTAATCGTCACCAATATGTAAGAAGATCTGTTAGACAAGGACGAATGTATTGTATAGCAAGAAGTAATGCTATTCCAGATTGTAAAAAATTTCCAGATGAAACACATTTTCTATGATGCCATAATGGTAAGGTAGCTTTGCCTCCACTTTCACCATTTACACAAGCTTTACAGGATTTATTTACAGAGAGTTATGTAGATCGTAATGCGAATGTCAATTTTTTAAAACATTTTTAAAATTATAATGCCTGTCTTTCTTTTGCTTCATTTAAAGCAGATGTAGTTCAACCAATAAATCATGGGCCTCCATGTTTTAAAATATGTGACCAGATTTATCATCGTGTAGGTAATCTTAGGCCAGATCAATATATTTCACCAAAATATTCTCAACTATATATTTATGATCCACTTGCAGCAGTAAATTTAAGGATGCAATAATGTGGTAATGATCTTTGTTTACGTGATTTAATGTTTCAATTGCAAACTATAATTACTGAACAAAGTCCATTTGCTCTTGCATTTAAAAACATGGCTGAAGTAGAAGATGAAGAAATTCGTCAAGCGGCTCTAGAAGGTCGCTCAGCTTCTGTTGTAAAAATGTCTTTACTGGAAGGGGGTGAAAGACGTCACTATAATCTACCTTCACATGATGAAGTTGCTTTTGTGTTTGTTGGTGAAGATGGTGCTCCCCCAACTTCCAGGGAATTTATTATTTACCCAAGAGGTCGTCCTTTAAAAATTGTATTAAGTATGTCAGCCAACTTGGATCCTATGGTTTATCCTCTATTTTTCCCAAAAAATGATCCAAAGTTATGATTTTTTATATTCTAAAATTAAAATCAATTTAAAGTTTTAATATATATGTTATTTGTAATATTTTTGGAAAATGTTGATATGTTAACGTTAATATGACCAAAATAATCAATTCAGTTAATAGTCTGATATCTATTCATCTATCAAATTTAAATGAAAACAGAAAACTTAAAAACCACAGGTCACTGTGTTTAAACGTGATTTTCTCAGAAACTAGATCCCGCCATGTGGCCCCTTTTCTACCGCGAGGTCACATATAATTAATTGAATATACTTGTCGTTATGTAATTTGTTATAATGTAATGCCAAAGTTAAATGCGCTTTTACTTTTGTTACTATCGGCTGTTTTGTTAGGCTTAGTGATGCACAGTTTTTTTTGTACGTTGTTTTGTGCTATGTTAGTTTTTCTTCTGTTCTGCAGTTTTGAGATTAAAATTTCCAGACCTATAAAAAAGCACATTTAGAATTAATTTGTTCTATTGCATCTTATCATATCTTTGAAGTAGGTTGTTTTCTGTTTAATCATTTTAATCATTTACATTTTTTATGTCTTAACGTGTCTATTACCTTTATTTAATTTGTTTTTAAGCATATTTATTTTTATTTTTTATATTGAATTAATAGAATGTCCCAAAATGTTGAAGATGAAGGTTTGTATTTATTTAGATGTGTTATTATGTTACGGATTTGTATCATGTTACGTAGTTAGTTCTTAAATATATGTTTATTTTTTAGTCGCTTAACTACTAAGAAGTAAGTTTTGTTCCATTTTGTTATTAAATGTTATAAATTAATGTTATAAATTGCAGTTCGTATATGTTGGTTAATTTAAATTAACTTTGAAATAATAAAATGGTTTAAATGATTTTTAAATTTTTGTAAATTAATTTAATTGAGAAAGATTAAATATTTATTTTATTATTGAAATAATTTAAATAGATTTAGGAAGAATCGACTTTTGCTTTTCTTTATAGATGGCGACAGCATTATTGGGGAAAGTAAGTTAGAAAGCATTTTTACTTTAAAAAAGAATACTTTTACTTTAAAAAAGAATAAAAATTCTTTATTATATATCTGTTTTTTTTTGAAGGAGGTTTAAAATTTCAGGTTTTTAAAATCTTCCTAATATAGTATCTTAAATAGATCAAAGATTCATTTAATCTTTTTAATCTACTACCAAAGTGTAAATTTACTATAAACTGTTTTTCTGTTTAGTTAACAACAATGAAAATAGAGAGAAGTTTAAAAAGATTTTTTATTTCTTATAAAGTAACTAAAATAACTAAAATGTTTTTCAAAATGTTGTTGTTGATTTAAAAACTGTAAAACAGTAGGTTTTTATAATCTTGTGCAATAAGCCCAAAAATTCACATCCTACTTAAAATTATATTTAATTAAGAAAATATATTTAAAATTCTTATTGAGATAGATTTTTGTCATTTTATATTAAATTAGTTTAATTATGATTTATTTTCTTTAGTTAATAAAGAGAGAACTTATGAAGGTATTATTTACATTAGTTAGGTGAATTTATTTTTAAAAAATTCAGTAGATATTTTAACGTCTATACATTTAAGTGCTTAATTGTTTAGACACATAGTTAAAGAGTGAGATAAGTCAGTGTTTTTGCTATTAGATATTTGTTATTAGGAATTTGTTTATTTGTACTGTACCTGGAATTTTAAAACTTCAAGTACCTTAGCTTTATTTTATTTTTCTTCTAGGAGAGTTGGATCAAAAACTAAGTATGAATTATATGATTAGTATAGTTAAATAAATAAGACATTTATATTAAGATTTATAAAGTTTATTTTAGTTTATAGTTTTGGTTTAGTTTATAGTTATTTTTAGTTAGTTTTAGCTTCAGTTATCTTTTTTCTTACCTTAGACAACTTTATGGAGGAAATGGGGGAAATAGGTAAAAAATTATAATTATAAATATATTTATGTTAACGTTATTTATATGTAAATATTATTCTATCAATTATTATGAGGTATATTTTTTTGTCTTTAGTGTCTGGAAGAAGCATAACTGGTAGGGCTGTGTTTTGTATTTTATATATTTTGTATGGAATTTTTCTTCTTTTTTAATTAAAATGAAAACTAAATTAAACTCAAAATACAGTTAAATTGATTCATCCAATTATCATAATATAATGATGCTACATTCAATTGTTAAAAATAATATATTGCACTTGCTGCTTTTAAAATTTACTATAAGCCAAGACAATATATTTAGCTATATAAATGCAATTAATTTATATCTCAATTTGATTTTTTATCTTAAATGTTTATAGTTAAGCTCCTTAAAGCATTTTATTTTGCTCTTAATTTAAATATTTTAAATATATTGTGATGTCTTCTAAATGAAACTAAAGCTTACTGAAAGCCAACATTAAAAAACGTCATTAAACAACACCGACAAGAACTGCTGCATCATGACAGCAACTGAAGTGTGATAACAGGTTACCAAAAGCAGGTAAATTGTTTTCCAGTCATTTTTTTCTTTCTTTTTTATGTCTACTTTTTTTTATTCTTTTTTTATACCTACTTATCTGTTACAATTTTTATTTTAGCTTTGTCGTATAAAAGATCGAAGTTAACATTTTTTTAAAAATTTGTTATACACATGTTTGATTGTAAATTATTTAATTTTTTTTGAAACGTTTTTGTACTCAATTGCTTAGTTATTTATAATAAACTTAGTTATTTTTAATAAATTTATTTAGTTAAATGCATTTAACGTTGTTAAGATAACAAATTTTCTTTTCTAAAGAAAAATTTAACCTGAGAGGGGATACCAAAAGTTAATAACTCCTGTATAATATAAGTTAACTTCATGATAATCTTAATAAATAATTAAGGTTTATGTTATAAAAAATATTACAAGAATTTAGTTGATATTTAAAAAGAATGGCGAAGTGTTATTATTTTGTGTTGAACTTAAAAATGTCGACAAAAACGGTTCTGCCTTACACTGATATGACCTATGTCAGTTGTAAATTACTCCAATGTGTTAAATAATAATTGGTAAATTAATTTACCTCCTTATACTTATTATGTTAATTTTACCAAGAGATAAATTTGTTCAATT